AGTTGTGGTAACAGGCTTTCTTTTGTTTGGAGTGGATGGTTCAGTAGTTGTGGCAACAAGCTTTCTTTTGTTTTGAGCGCGTAAATTTGCAATTAAAAAGAAAATCGATTGATTGATGTATTGTATAATATGATGTATAATAATATAAAACTTACCAACATTCATTCATAGACGTGACTGTATTATGTTTTTCATGCTCCACACAAGTAAAAAGGAATACTATTGTTGTTATAAATTATAATTGTTTTTATCATTTTATTATTATTACATACTCAAATAGCTTTCTTGAGAAATTCTTCTAGTTTCACGGTTTGCTTGCTCCTCCATGATAAGCAAATTTTCTGATGGACAGCCTGGACATTCATTCCTTGTAAATTTTCATTAGATAATCCTTTGGTGTTGTTTGGTATCCCTCTTCCAAGCCCTTCATTTGCTTGATAATGACGTCCTTACTCCATATATAAATAATTGTATGATCAATGTCATCATCTTGATCAGTACCGCCACCAAATGAAGATAATTCTTTATTACTTGATCGATCAATACAAATTCTGTAGCCTGAAACTCTTAGTTTAGGTTTAGGCTTAAAGTAGGTTCTCAACCAAAATATTGAGGGAATTCAAGATCGCCTCATTGATCAGCACTTTCAGTTCATTCATGGTTTGACAACATTATATTTAGGAATTTATTTCAGAAAAATAGGTTCCATACCATCATTAATTATCAAATACACTACTAATTCACACGCGTAAAATGTTAGTAAAACGAAAAAAGAAAAGTACTTGGGAGATTCAAACAAGCAAGTATTATTAGAGGATGATTTTCGATTGGGCGTTATTCTAATTGACTGAAATAGTCAAAAAAGAAAAAAGATAAATTGAAGATGTAATACGATAATTTAAGCAAACAGACTTGTTTTTTTAAATACATTTTATTTATATTTTTCCTACTGTATTCACATATATGCATGCGTGTGTGTATATATATATATAGCATCACAATTTGACCGATTGAATAAGGAATTTAATGATCGAAAATACAACATTGGAAAAAGAAAATATAGCATTAGAAAAGGCATCGACATCTAAATGATGTAGATAAGAAGAAACCATAATGAAAATAAAAAAAAGGCGTCATTAAAATTTGCTGTTTATTTTAATATATATTTGGAAAAATCAATAAAATTTGCCTTTATTAAATGAAGTTTCATAGATTTAAAAAAAACAAAAGTTCTTGTTATGATTATAAAATCACCAAATGATCTTCTGATGATTCATTATTTTTATTTAATATAATGCATCAAGAACAATTTCACCATTTAACTTTTTATATAATATGTTTATGCTTCATTTTAATTTTTTTGCCATTAACAATTTATAATCAAGTAATGCAACATCTAAATCTCTTCCACTCGTACTCAAAAACACTTTATCAATAATGCCATCTAATTATAAACATAATATACACACATTTAATAATCAATTAATTTAATTGATCTCAATAATAATGAAAATAATAAAAAATACCTTTTTTGATTTTCTTATTTGATTGTTTGTTACCAAGTTCATTTATTTCTTTTAATATCACACTAATATTTTCTAGAATTAATATCATAAGATTATATTATTATATTTATTAGTTGTTTAAAATTAAATTAGTTAAGGATTACCTTGTAGATCTTGAATTGGCCAAAACGTCTAAATCATCATTAAAAAATTCATTATCAAAATAAGCCTTTCCAATATAAAGCATTTATCTTTGTTCTTACTTACTTTGCCAACATCATTACGAATAAATCCTTTTTCATCTGTTTTGATTTCTGTTTTACTTGCCAACATATTGATTGTTTCTGCTGGATTTTTGGTTAGAGTTCCTTTCTTTTCCGTTGGCATTAATTGTAAAGGACCTAAAACCTTAGCAATTTTGTTTTTCATCTCAGGATATATTCCAAATGTTGATAAGCAATTGCTAATATTACTAAAATCAAAACTTCCCTCTAAAATCTAGGTAAAAATAAAATATTGTTATTTGTCATTTTTATATATAAAAAAATAAATCACTAATTTAAATGATTTTTTTTTACTTTTTGAATTAATTTTTCTCCTCCCACAACAACACTTGCTGTTTCTATATTTTCTAATTCTTTGGCTTCTTCTTCCTAAAAATCATTAAATCTTTTATCATAAAATTCAACAAATTCAACAAATCCAACAAATCAAAACCTCAATAATTAAAAATATTGATCAATTAGTTACAGTTGCAAATACTAAAAAAGTAAACCTTTTGGCCTTTGGTAAAACTTTTGCTAATGTAACTGACCCACGAATAGTCGGAGTAACTTTTTCAGAAATTTCATTTAATTGAACTTTTAATCTACAAATGCTATGCTCATTACCCACTTCTAACGCCTAATAGATAACATAATTATTATTAAATTAAAATAATAAATGGGTAAATTTTATTTTTAATGTATCCACTAAGAATACTTATTGCATCCATGAATTCAAGAACATTCGAAGGAATTTTTTGTACTCCTTTTCTAGAATAATTTCTATCAAGCGTGATTTTTAATAAAGCGTTCTTTAAATATTTTAAAAAGTTGCAAGTTGATAGACTTTTTTTTTTTTTGATAAATTGAAACTTATAGATCAATATTTTGTTTGCCTCGCAATAATAAAATTTTCAATGTAATATTAATATTGATTGTAAAGTTTCTTTAAAAAAAAAATCGCACATCTCGAATTTCAATAATGCATCTTATATTTTTTTATTTAAAAATTTTTTAATATAAATACGTGATAATTAAATCTCGTAATAACGACCCTCGTTGTAACGGGTTTCAGACATTTAAAATCCGTTATAACGAATCTACTAGTACTAGTACTAATATAGTCACGTTATAATAATAACGGTTTTATTATGATAATAATCAATTAATTGCTTATAGTAACAACTGGTAGCTTCAAAATACTAAATCAAAAAAGTTTCATAACATTTTAAAAAGTTAATCGATAAATTTTATTGTTCGTGACTCAAGCTTCAAAACCTATCGGCTAGGTTTTCTGAATTGGCAGAACCTTAACATTTTGAAAATTCCAAATTTTGTTATACAAAGCAAACTTTGTGTAACTAAAATAATTTTTTCATTAGAATACTCTTTCTTTACAAAATATATTGATTGATTTATTATTTCCTTTTTTTATTAATGATGAAAGTTCTTATTATATATTTACAACAAAAGGAAATCATTATCGAATTTGGTCATGTAATTCAAAATGTCGTAACACGAAAATTATTTATTGCATTTCTGAGCATAACTCTCAACTTTAGAAAAAAACTTGAGACGGATTTTTTACATGAATTGACACCCTTTTTAAAGCTGAACTGAATGGTGGTGGTTTTTAAAATCTTACATGTGGATCACATAATATTTCAAATTTTGAGTATAGATGACCCGCACTGTATATAATATTAAAATTCGTTATAACACGTATTCAATTAGGTTACGTTCGCTATAACGAGGTTTGTCTGTATATAAAAAAAAATTGATTGCCAATCATCTTTACAATTTAAATAAAAAATTTTAAAATTTAATATACAAGAAATTAAAAATGGAAAAATATCTTGATCCAAAAAAAGCTTTAAATTATTTATCAGAATATAAAAATTCTGACGGCTTATCAGCCAAAAATCTTATAGATTCACATAAACATGGAGGCTTAACTTATAATGATTTTCTTATTCTACCAGGATACATTGATTTCTTGTCTTCTGAAGTAACTTTAGAAACAAAGATTACAAGAAACATCACCTTAAAGACTCCTTTTATGAGTTCACCGATGGATACAGTCACTGAGACTAATATGGCTATAAATATGGCTGTCAGTTTTAATTTTTAGTTTATTAAAATTTAACAGATATTTGTTTTTTACTCTCAATTTTTGTATAAATGACTTTTTTTTTAATTGATTAGTTATTAGGTGGGGTTGGC